AGCGGCGCCCCTCTGCGGGTGAGTAATCCCAGCCAAGCTGATAGCGGGCGGCCGGGCGTCGCCTCCCGTGGCCAAGCATGACACGTTCGGCGCGATGGAGCACTTGTCGTGCTTCCGCTCGGATTCCCACAAGGCTCGCTGCGCTGTAAATCGCACCTGCCGCGGGCGCCACCCAGTCGACGAACGACCGCCATTTCGATTCTATCGTGCTTCTTTTCAACATTTGACAGTTTCTCGTCGTTGTGTGAAAAGTCCAAATGACCGCCATTTCGATTCTATCGTGCTTCGTTTTAACATTTGACAGCTTCTCGTCGTTGGCTTAAACGTCCAAATGTTGTGTCGATATTACAACAGCGCCTCGGGGACGACGACTTTTTTTTTTCTTTTAAGTGAACATATTTTGTCTATCCCCCCCGACCCTTCTCTATTAGATTGTAAAATATACATGTACATATATAACATATTTCTTTACTTTTAAGCGTACACGCTCCCGTCGCTACGCACCCTAAAATGTTTGGGCCTCGGGGGTGATGTCATGTCTGTACGCGGTGGTCTCAGTGCGGCCGTAGCTCCGTGAAATGACGTAATTGTTTTCGCTATACTGGATGGTTTGTTCTGCTTGTGTTGGGAAATATTTAGCCATTCCGCACCCCCCACATCATCAATTAAGAATTTTCGACAGTAGACGTGTTGCCTAAAAAACCTCGAACGTGATATGAGGGCTAACCAGTCCATTATACTGAATAGGGAATCACACCCAACATAGCCACTGAGTGTGTGCATGTGGCTGTGTGTGTGTGTGCGTGTGTGTGTGTGGGTGTTGGTGTGTGTGTGTGTTTGTATATCATCTATCCATCCATCCATTTCCTAATCCCCTTATCCTCACACGGGTCGCTGTGTGTGTGTGTGTGTGTGTGCGCGCGCGCGCGCATGTGCTGCTAGGCAGCGAGCTGGTTCTTTTCAGCACTTTGCAAGCTATGAATTCATTTGACTGTGAATGAAGGAAGCGCTTGCTTCTTGCTGTGTGTATGTGTGTGTGTGTGTGTGCGCGCGCGCGCGCACTCGCGCGCGCGCGCGCATGTGCTGCTAGGCAGCGAGCTGGTTCTTTTCAGCACTTTGCAAGCTATGAATTCATTTGACTGTGAATGAAGGAGAGCTTGCTTCTTGCTGTGTGTGTGTGTGTGTGTGTGTGTGTGTGTGTGTGTGTGTGTGTGTGTGTGTGTGTGTGTGTGTGTGTGGTGTCACATTAGGACAAGGAATGCACAAAGAGCTTCAGAAGCGCTGCCCCCACCTACCCCCAACCCTTTCCGCTAGCCTACTTCTCCACATCATGTCTCTCTCATGAAGAATCATCTCACTTCCTGTTTGTGCTGCAGCCATGTCTCCCGTCCTGGCGGGCTTCCTGGGTGCGGGCGTTCTGGTGGCGGTGGTGATCGTGGCACTTCTGCTTTGGTCCTTCTGCCAGCGCCGTTATTTGCGTGCGTCCGGACGCTACAAGCTGCACAGCGACCGCTACTGCGACACCGAGGACCCACCCTACAAGTTCATCCACATGCTGAAGGGGATCAGCATTTACCCAGAATCTCTCAGCAGCAGCAAGAGGATCGTGCGTAACGCCAGGCGGGCCGGGTGGGCCGAGCGGGACGGCAGTGGCGCGGCGGGGGCTAGGGGCATGGTTCTGGTGGACGCCGAGAACAACGTCCTGGATGTCCCCGGTCAGCTTCAGATGAGCCATTTAGTGGTGCCCGCTGGGTTGGGGCCCCACGATGGCCTGGAGCGCGCACTTCCCGTGCGCGCAGACTACTGCTGTCTGGACGGTAGCTCAGCCGGCAGCAGTCAGAGTAGCAGCAAGACGGCGTCGCCCTTCACGCCCGCTTCCTCAGAACCAGAAGCTGAAGCCGGCCTGGGCACCGTCAGCCTCGCCGTGGACTACAACTTCCCCAAGAAGGCCCTGGTGGTCACGGTGGTCGGGGCTCGGGGACTGCCCGCCATGGACGAGCAGGCCGGCAGCTCGGACCCCTACATCAAGATGACCGTCCTGCCTGAGAAGAAGCACCGTGTCAAGACCCGCGTGCTGAGGAAGACCCTGGACCCGCTCTTCGACGAGACCTTCACCTTCTACGGCGTGGCTTACAGCTCGCTGCCTGAGCTGACGCTGCACTTCCTGGTGCTCAGCTTTGACCGCTTCGCCCGCGACGATGTCATCGGCGAGGCTCTGGTGCCACTTAAGGGCGTGGACCCCAGCACGGGCCGGGTCCACCTGAGCCAGAGGATCACCAAGAGGAACACACAGGTGAGGCGGCCGTCGGACATCATGGTGTTTGTGCTGGCCGTTGCCGTGGCGACACTCATCCGTGACAGACTAAAGGGCTCTTGTTCATCTTAATTGAACTCCGCTGACAAGGCCCATTTTTGGTCACTGCAACTCAAATATGTTCAAGTGACAACATCAGGCAGGATGTAAACAAGCAAACATTCCAAGGCGTTTAACATTCCGTTAAGACAGACAATTTCGATGTGTACCAGAATGTAACATCATTACTGCACCTAAAATGTAGGGGAGATATGGGGGGGTGGGCGTGGGCAAATTTTGAAACATAACAAAATCAATTAAATTGGTACAATACAATGTACAGTACATTCGTCAACAAATTATAAATATGTAAATGTATAAAATGAATCCTGCAGACCTCTGTGAGGTTGTCTGCTTCAGAAAATAATTTCACACTTTATTGATCGACTTTTTTTTCTTTTTTTCTTTTCTTTTACTCGTCTAGTAAAGGCAACTGTAAGCAGAATTCTCATTTGCAACGTTGAATCAAAAAAGAACACATGTTGTGCATCTAGAACGGGATACAAATTAGGGCTGCGCAATTAATCGAACCAAAATGGTGATCACGATTTTGGCTGCCTCGATGAAATACACCCGATCGCTGGCGATATTTGCTTTGGAAAAACGTGGGCTCTGCTGCACATCTAATCAAGCACTTTCTCAGTCAGCCGTCAACCAGCCACCAGGGGGTGAACATGTGCTTGAGGCTTCATTAATCTGCCGAAATCTCACTCAGTAGGCCACGCCCTTTAAAGGCGCAGATCCAACTCACTACATTACAACACCAATTATACTTTACATTCTGTTTTATTTATTTTTCAGATAATTTGGAGCTATTCAACTCATGAAGAAAGCGTAATGCATACATTCTCACCCTGTTGAGTCACGTGGTGATGACGTGATGGAAACAGGAAGTGACTCTTTGTGCGTTGTGTTGTCAGTGCGAGAATCGCGGCGAGCTGCTGGCGTCGTTGTCCTACCAGCCAGTGTCCCATCGCCTGAGCGTGGTGGTCCTCAAGGCTCGACACCTCCCCAAGATGGACATCGCCGGCCTGTCTGCAAGTGAGTTTAAATGATGGGGGAAAAAATAGCCCTCCTTCACACCCAAACACCAGAAGATGCTCCAAATGAGTAGTTTTGTCTGAATGGAGCTCCTCAATTAACTCCAACATACTGTATCTCCTCGACATCAAGATTGCACGCAACTAATATGTGAATTGCTTCGGCGTGACAACATTTTAACGCTAACGCTTGCGTGTGGTGTCCTTCCCTCCGTCTTTCTGTCCGCAGACCCCTACGTGAAGGTCAACGTGTTCTACGGCCGCAAGCGCATCGCCAAAAAGAAGACTCACGTGAAGAAGTGCACGCTCAACCCCGTCTTCAACGAGTCCTTCATCTACGACATCCCACCCGAGCTGCTGCCCGAGATCTCCGTGGAGTTCCTGGTGGTGGACTTCGACCGCACCGCCAAGAACGAAGTCCTGGGCCGCCTGCTCCTGGGCCTACACGGCGCCCTGCCCTCCGGCGCTGCCCACTGGCGGGAGGTCTGCGAAACCCCCCGCCGGCAGATCTCTAAGTGGCACACCCTCAGCGAGTACTGAGCGCCGGACCCACGCCTAGACTGACCAGTGTACAGAGCCCAGTGTGCAGCGCGCACGGGCGCGCACACACACACACACACACACACACACACACACACACACACACACACACACACACACACACACACACACACTTGGGATCCTCTTTGTAAACATTGTCTGTTATCACCACACACTCAACAAAATATGCTTGTACGAAGGAAAGGGTGTGTGTGTGTGTGTGTGTGTGTGTGTGTGTGTGTGTGTGTGTGTGTGTGTGTGTGTGTGTGTGTGTGTGCCCATGCGCTTATGTTCTGACAAAGGAAAACAAGTCGGTGTTGTCATCATGCAGTTAATTGCATGTCTTTGTGAAGAGAACACCAAAAGCTCCCTTCAGCCTCCCCCATCACAGTCCGGACAATTCCCAACATGCTTTGCTGCCGACTGCCGACACCTGCTGGTGAGTGTCATGGAAATCCCTTTTGAGCATTTTTTTTCCCATGCACTTAAAATCCAGCTCAAGGTCCATGCACGTGCTTGAACCTTGAAATTTATGCGCAACGCGAATAAACCCAGTCAATATGTGAGCCGTGACGCCCTAGATGTGAATTTCAGTCGCCGCCAGAGGGCGCTAAAACGCCAAGATGGCAGCACCCGCAGAAGGATGAAAACAGGCGCAGTCAGCTGCTTCATTCTGTTCCAATACTGCAACATTCAGACTGGGAGAGGCACATACAACATATCCCAGTCTTTCCTTGAGTTTCCCACGGGCGTGTGTGCGTGACATGGCCCGTATTCTCCCATTCACGCTCCTGTCATTTTTAATGCGCCTGGCTGTCACACTTTGAAGGTGCCTCAATTTTCCCGTCCAGACTTCTGATTCATCGTGTGTAACCTGGAAGTTTGTGCACCAAAGAGGCATGACTGGATTAACTCTGAGGGTGGCCCCGATTCCCAGATCGTGTTTTCATGAGCTCCGTTAGGGAAATATGTCACACATAGAATATCAACTTAAATTGTGTCGTGGATCCGAAAATACTACTAATTGTCGCGCTAATCCAGTGCGCAGAATCGCACGTACTCATGAGGACAACAAGCGTACTGGTACCTGGACCTTACGGTCGATACGGCATAAAGGCTCAAAACGGCTTTCCGTGGTGTCGGGGTTGCTCGCGTGCAGGTTCCAATGTGTAAATAAATTCATGCGTGTGCTTGTTTCTAACATGAAGGACTTCCTTTACGCTTTCTTTCGTGGCTTGTGTCGCAACTAACGAGTTGTCCCCAAGCCAGGCTGGCAGTCGAGTCGGCGACGCTAATTGCAATGCTAAGCTAACATCACGGCCATGCTTACCTGTTCATGAGCTGAAGGTTAACCCGGGCGGCACCTGAAGGCATTCGGCGAAGGTACATGACATGACTCCAAAAGCTTCGGAAACGTTCCTGTTCATATTTCTCTTGATGATGATGTCATAACCCCACGTGCGATGTAATGGCTTTGTTCATTCACGTCTGTGCTGATCAGCGGCTCGAAATCTCTGGCTGTGTTGAGAATGACACCCTCTTCACACTATCCTAAGTTGGCCATTTCCAAATGAGGAATCGAATACTCTCTTATCGGTGTAGCAAGATTTTTGTACAGTGCGTTATATGGTTGACAATGACGTCCAATCCAAATCCTGTTATTGTGTGTTGAGGCGATTCGATGAATCGTTTCAGCCCTCGGGTCAACGATATCAAAATGCATGGATAGTAATTAGGCATGAGTGAATGATTCCCAACACTAGTCTTCTCATTTGCACCATGAATATTGTGCCAGCCGGTGGCGCTGTACCCCCACCCCCCACCCCCGAAAAGCACACCACCCACGGCGTCTGTCCGAACGCGCCAAACATGACACCATCAACGATGCGAGCCGTCTTGTTGGCCGCTCCCGACTGAGCCTTGAAGCTCCTCCCGATTTGCGGCAGACGTCAACGTGGAGACTTGACGTGTGGATTTTGTATCGATGTTCTACTTCTAGCTGTCCGATATCCTGAAAGCTTTCAGCGCGTTGGAGCGCCCCCTGCTGTAAACCCGAATGATGCTAACCTCCCCCTTGACGTGCAAATAAAACAAGTTAGCCCGACGCCTTCTTTTGTCTGCCTTTTTTTATTTGGATTTTATATCGCCGAACCTGCTTCCTCTTGCCTTAGCCGTGATGCGCTGCCGAGCAGCCACGGGTTGCATTTCATCACTCCGCTCATCTTCCTTCTCCCCCAAGGAGATAGGCAGAAATGTTTCAGTGCAATGGCCAGGGTGACACAACACCTCAATGAAAGGTGGCCGTGCATCCGTCTGTCATTATTTATTATAACATACACACTCAGTTGGGTTTTCAGGAAATAAAAGTCTCTCATATCCACTGCACTCATAATCGAGCAGGAACAACTCCTAAGTAAAAAAGCAACATTTTGCTGATCTTAGTTTACTAGGGAATGCCATTTTCTTTGCAGTGGCTTTGGTTTTGTGCACCATCTCAGAGTCTACTTTTATGTCATGCACAGATTCGCTAGCTAACAGGGAATTTGAGTGATCAATTGTCACAGATGGCTGCTAAACCTTTGCATCAGCTGCCACCCTCGGAGGAGTTGAAGAATGAATGGCTTCAGATCATTTGGGGAGAACTTCCGAATTGTGCTGTGTTTAGGAACATTTTTTGGAAGATGACGCACTAACACTTCTGAGTTTTGAATGAGCGAGACACAGACATGCTGCCGAGGCATACAAGTACAGTAAGTATACATTTATCATGTTTAACAACAATTTTTAACTGCATTTATAATTTATAATATTTTATTTATTAGAAGTTATCACGCACCTGCGGATGAAATAAAGTTAGTTTCTGTGGCCAAAACTATGTCTATGGAGCGCCAGGTCGGTGAATGGGGCGGGGCTGCTTCTCAAATTATTCGTAATCTTTTCCTCACTCACATCATCTATCTGTATCAACTTGCTTCTTGATTGCTACGCCATCATTGTATGAGTTATTCGTTGTGGTAAAGAACAACATAGTGTATGAGCAGCCCCAAAAGCTTATACAGGTTCATCATTCAGGACGCCCAGACATTTTCACAAAATTCAAGATGGCCACCATGCCTCTACATGCAGAAATTATGCAACGATTCACTTGGATGCCTTAGGAAAATGTTTTGGTTTGTTTCTTCACAAAATTTTGTCGATGTTTTTCATTTGCTCAAGATTTTTACGAAATTTCAAATCCACATATGCGGATTAAGTAATTAAAACCTTTTTTATTTATTGACAATGGTACCATATGTACCTCTGAAAACGAAAACGCACTCAAACTTGTATTTCTTCACTTCATTTAATGTTTTTGTTTTAACACCCCCGGCCCCCGCCTATAAGGGGGAGTTCCCGGAAGCAACTGCGAGTAAGTCCACCGCATGTTAGTTGCTCTGCCACGTTATTAATAAAAAGACACATAAAACCCAATCCCTGCCTGCCAACAATTATTACAACACCCTTGCTTATCTAATGTGTTGTTGTATGTATTGATGATCGTCTGCTTTGGTATTTTTTTTAAATAGCGATTGTTGAGTGGTTTGATAAAGAGAAAAGCTCGTTTGTTTTCAGAGAGCGGGGCGTTGTTTCTGTCCGGTCATATGATGCCGACGGACCAACGTGACATGTCCGCAGCAGATGAAAAGCTCCTCGTCCAAGTGTCTCCAAATGAGGACGACGACAGACTGCAACTAATTCATGGTGAACATTTAAACGTTTGCCTAAAATCGGCTCCACGTTTGACATTTCGCTGCTGGTTGTGAACGTGTCTTTCTTTTTGGGCGAATGTCAGCACACTGTCGCGCGTGCGCACACACGCCCCACACTTTTGAGGGCATTGTATTTGAAGGGATCTTGTTGTCTGAAAGGACACGAAGGTGTGAGACTTTTTTTTTTTTTTTGCTTCTGGTGCGCAGGTGCCATTTTCCTGGCGGCTGTGTCGTCACTGGGCGTGATTGCAGGCTTCGGATCCACTTTGGCTTTGGCCAAGAAGAACAATCCGGACTGCTTCAACAAGGTGATCTCTTCCTGTTGCCAGCATACACTTCCTGTTTGAAGCGAAATGACACATCTTCTTCTCAGTTGATAATTACAACACTACATGACAATGATTATTGAATAATGACTCCAAAGCGATGCAAGGCATCCATCTGGTGGCCTCTCTACAGTAATATAGTGGTTGACAAAACAGAATTTGAAAGAAAAGCTGGGTGAGACTCTCTTCCATGCTGACTTGAAAAATGGACTTGACTAAAATATTCCCAAGTGGCAGGAAATGCTTGGACCAGTAGAAATGCCTCCTGTTGAAACCCTTCAAAGCTGTCGTGTGTAATGAAGTCATGATTTGTGTCCGTTTCCCCCGGCAGGGCGTTACAGCGACGACGGCGCTCCCTGAGAGTGGTGCAGCACTGGCCCTGCGAGCTCTGGGCCGCGGCTCAGTGTACGCGTGCTGCGGTGTGGGCCTACTCAGTTTCGGGGTATGGAAGCTGCTCGGCGTCCACAGCGTATGTCGTCTTCCGCCTCTTTCGAAATTCGCCACCAGGGAAGGAAAGTGACACCTAAACCTTTCTTTTTCTTTCAGCTGTCCGACTTTAGACAGAAGATGGCGTCGTTGTTCCCGTCAATCCCTAAGTCGGAAGTGGGGCCAGGGAGCGCCTCGCAAGACCTCGACTCGCTTTTCAAGTCCAAGTGACCGGACGGAATGATGCTAGTCGGCACGTGACGGAAAGCATCCAACTGACCGTTGACTTTGTGGCGCCTGCAGGGACTGTAGGAACGTTTTCTGTTGGTGTTAGCCATCTCCTGCAATATCGCTGCGCCACTCACCTGAACCGGAAGGAACTGCTTCGACGTGTTTTAATCGAATGGCGACGTTGCATGCGCATAAACCTCAGCATCCAACAACAAAGTTGTAGCTAGTGAAAATAAAGAGTGGCTATTCACTCCAGGAAACCACGAACCATGATGGCCATTAAGGAAAAAAAAAAGTCAATCATGCCGTGATCCACTCTTTATAGATTGAATGTGAAGTGTACATATTTATTGCATATATTTTATTTACAGCACAAAACCCATCTGTTGCATCTAAAAGTGCAAATGTGCAGACATGAAAACCAAATAAATAATAATGAATAATCGTAGTGCTCGCAATTCGCAAATCGTATTTAATAACATTTACCAAAGGAACTTGTATGATTGTTAAGACGATATCATTAAGGATCTTTTGTAGAAACCGAATCTAGACGTGGCGTCAAAGATCTTAATGGGAAAGGGGCATCATTGTGTATCTGGAGATGAGATCTTGCAGGTGAGATCCCAGAGGCTTGGCACGCTAAAGCATCGTCGTGGAAATGAAGACAAAGATGAAGGTCAACATCATTGGCGACGTCGGGCTCATCCGAGACCCTCCTGCAGGAAACAAGACACAAGATCGTTTTCATGAAGTGCTCGCATGCCATCCTATTCTCGGTGTGGGTTCCAGGTCCTTACCGTCATGGGTGCCGATCAGCATGTCGGCGGTGTGCTCCAGGGATCCGTTGTTGGGCTCCGCTCGGATGTCGAGCAGTCGGCACATGAGCGGATAGATATGGATGCTGTCGAAGGGCTCGGATAGGAAGTTCTTCTTGAAATCGGGTCCGAAGGCCCTGAAGATCATCTTCATGTCCATCTCACCGTTGTGGAAGCCGTGGTCGCCTTTATTAACGTACACAATGAATCTCTGGTGGGGCCCAAAAAAAAAAAAGATTGAAAAACTGCCTCACCCTTATTAGTAACATTAGCGTTCTCAAGGGGAAGCGTCTACCTATGTTAGCGTGTTGACGTTGCAATAAGATATGACTCCATGAATCATGTGAACCCATAGCAGATCAGAGGTGATTTTGAACTTCTATATTATGGCTTTTGAGTAGTTAGCTACATTATCAGTTCCACATGAGCATATTGACGCGAAAGTAGTCAACTACGTTAAAGAGGAAGTCAACCTAAATTCTGTCTTTACAATATGTTCTAATCGCCCCCGCAAGTCTAAAGGTGGTATCTTGATTAATATTGCTTTTGTGGAATATGAATTAAGCAGCAAAATCCAGCCGTTTTTATCCATGACGGCGGCCACCCATTTTGCCACTTGGTATCGTTTGAAAATGACATCACAATGCCGAAAGCCTCAAGAAGCACACGGGCCCCAAACCAAACATATTCAGCACGAGTGTTAGCACACTGACTGAGTTGAGGTTGAAGCCGAGGTCCGCAATGACGACGACAGGTGGCATGCGTTGGCTCCGTCCAAGGTGGAAACTCTCAGGCATGTCCTCCTTCCTGTAAACGGTCAAGTTCGGAGCCTTAGCCAGCGCCTCCAGTACTTCCTGCTCCTTTCCTGGCCGTGGCGTCAGGATCCCGAAGCCTCCGTAGTCTAAAATTTCGAAACTGGCCAGCTTGAGCAGATCCAGGTACTTGTTGAGCACAATCTCGTCCACCAGAGGGCGCTTCTTGACGGTGGTCATCCCATGGTCGGATGTGATGATGACGTTGAGGGTGGAGTTCAACATGTGGCGGGTGATGCCGTCCCGCAGGTAACCCACCGTGCGATCGATCTGCCGGATGATGGCCTTCCGGTCCGGGTGGTCGGGGCCCCGCATGTGGCCCACGTTGTCTGGCTCTCCATAGTACAGGGTGACCAGGTCAAAGTCTTCCTCGGAGAACCAGCTCAGAACGGTGTCGATGTTTTGCCGCCACTCTGTCTCGTTGTCATCGATGTGGCCTGACTCCTCCACGATGGCCCGGTTCACCGCTTGGCCGCTGTAGTTGGCGCCACCTCCAGGGTAGTGGAAAGAGGCCGTCTTCAGACCCTGAAACATGGTGAGGAAACTTGCATTTATTTGTTTAGTCTTTTTTTAACTCATTCAGTACCAGCCAATTCTAGACCAAGTCTGAAAAGACGTTTAAAAACGTCTTTGGGAGTGAATGAGTAAAACCAGGTTAGACATTTGAGAAGATCAACATTGCCGACTTGGAGACTACAGGTACTTGTGGTTCAGCGTCTTGCCTAAAGACACTTTGACAGGGGACATTCTGAGCCAGGTTTCAAACTGCTGACCCTTCAGTCATTGGACGAACTGCTCTACCAACTGATCCACAGTCACGCTATTTATCACTTGCGACAGAAGCTAACACGGGTCATCGATTGACCTGTAAATCTGAGCTTGACAACCGTCACCTGGTTCTGCGCTGTGATCCAGAGCGGCAGCACGCCATTGTCCCACCACTCGGAGCGCCTGAGAGTCACCTTGTGGGGAACCTTCAGGTTGGTCTTTGTGTTGAACATCATGTTGTGGACCACCTCGTGGTCCTCCACCCAGCGACCTGAGCAAGAACAAGAAGGAGAATTACATGACCGGCATGAAATGACGAAGATGGCAGAGGGTGCGTAGAATATTTTGGAAGAGGCATGGCAAGCTTGATGTCATACTTGTTTGACAAACCGTAAACATGGGTGAATTTCACGGGTTACTAAGCTCAGCTCAAAAAGACTTAAACGGCACCACGACAAAACAGGATGGAACATGACACCACATTACATGACAGGAAAGAATAAATCAGATCGCAACATGACACAGTTTGATGACAAGACAGGAGGGGACATGACCAGACAGGGAACGGTGTAAAAGCACAGGACATGGTAAGACGAGATGCAACAGGACAGGACGGTGTAACGTGGCAAGACAGGTGTGAGGACTGAGAACTGGGCGACACCACAGGGTGTGATGTAAGAGGAAAGGACATGGTTTGACACCATTGGACAGGACATGATACGACCTGATACAACAGGACAGGCCAAGATATAACAGGACAGGACATGACACCATATTACAGGACATGAAAGGACAAACGGCAGGACAGGATTTAGCTGGAGTGTGTCCAGGAACCTGTGATGGTAGTGAAGTGCGACGGCGAGGTCATGGTGAGCATCGGAGGTGTGATGTACTTGGCCTTGACACCGTCCCACGCCAGCCGGTCCAGGTTGGGTGTGTCCACGTCCTGGTCGTAGTCCCAACGGAAGCCATCGAAGGAGATGAGCAGGAGGCGCTTCTTGCTCCCTACATCGCTCCCGCTTGGGCTTCCGGATGGCTTTGCGGCGGCCCAAGCCGACAAGATGGCGAGGAGGATCAGGAATATGGTTTGCAGCCTGACGGTCGCCATGATGTTGCAGTTGTGAGCAAAAGTGGCGACTGAGCGGCTGGTGGCGAGGACGAGGGGAGGGTTCGTTAATGATTGAAAGTCTGATTGACATCTGCTGATGTCTTCAACCAGACCTTGGACCAGCGATGCACTTTGATGGACATTTACATACACTGCCAACACAGCATGTGAAGCACACTCCGGACTGGTCGCCAGTAGATGTCAGGGCACATCTCGACAAACAATGCACTGACTGCCAGCAGATGTCAGGGCACATACTACAGGTGGAATTCAGACACGTGAGAGGAGAGAGTGATTGGTCGCCAGTCCATATCAGGGCGCCTGTGGCCAAAGGTGCATTCACACGTTGGTAAGGCCGATGTGTTGGCCAATCGTGTTATCAGATGAGCTGATTAGAATGGCAAGGTTGCCAAAAGGAATCAATGACTCCACTCTTCTTATTGCACACCCACCTGGGAGCAATCCAGGTGATGACGTTAGAACTATTAGCCTTGAAGCTGGCTCAAGGTCCTCGTGTCTCCCCACTTAAACTTCATTTCAGTCCATTTCAATTCCACCCACATGCGGCACGTTTCATTTTTTAATGTTTAGCATTACCTTTCATCAACATAAAAATGACATACCAATGGAGTTGCTTGTCTTTAATTTCAGTTTAATTTTAAATTACAAAACTATTAAAAAAAAACTAAACACAGAAATATAGTGACTCAAGAAATTTCCACTTTCTTTCATTTGAATTTAGACTTTTGCTGAATAATATGGATGGAGAAAATATATATAACATTCTTTTGTTTTATTTATATCGATAAATGATGTTGTTTTATTATATAGTGCTAATTATTGCTGGACGTGTGTTATTTATTCATGCATTATCAGTATCATTATTATTTTTTTTCTCGAATGTTTCATTTGAAGACTTGTGTCGACCCCTCACCCGGAAGTACACCCGTTTTGACGGCCTGACTTCCTGGCTAGTAGTCGGCTTGGTTTGGTTTTCGTGTGCGTGTGTTTTTGCTGGAAATGTTGCGACGCGGACTCATTTAGCCGTGGAAAGTGTAACCGCCGACCGCGTGGCTGTTGTTTTGAGTCCCCGACATGACGTCGTTCCAAGGTTGGTTGCTTGCTGGGCCAATGCTGTCTGCTAGCTGCGAGCACAAGGACGTGTTAGCCTGTCCTCAACGCGAATACCATAATTTAAAAAAATCACTTTGACGAAGTCTGTGCGAGATTCGCTTTACTGTCTTTTCGCAATAAGTAAGCATGGATAGTTTTACTGAACCTTAGCACAGATATCACGTTTGTAATTAAATGCAATTACGAGAATGAATGAAGCAGTTTGTAATTGTTCATATTCTTGTTTTTTGACTGTTGACTCGGTGCATCGAAAAAAAAACAACTGTTTTTGCTTCTAGAGCTGTGTGTGAAACCCAAAGTATCACTGAGACAGATGCTTCATGTTTGCAACGTAATCAACCGTGTTGTGTTGCGTTTCAGTGATGTCACTGTTGCGAGGTTTGAGGTCGACGGCGGTCACGACCTTCTTTCAAGGCAAGTTGCGAAAGAAAATCACTTTCGCGGTTTTCTTATTCATCGTCAGTTCTGAGTTTTTTTTTTGTTGTTAAATTCATTTGAGAATAACGTCCGCTATTGTCAAAAGGCCATTCATTCGTATTCCAATAATGTTTATGTGCAGCCCTGTACCAGTGTATTCATGAGTGTGTGTGTGTGTGTGTGTAGTATCCCAGCACGTCGGCACATGGACATGCCCCCTGGCAAGCCGACCCATGGCCACCCTCAACCAGATGCACCGGAAGGGGAAGCCCAAGCCCGTGCCCAAGGCGCCAGGCGCCACCTTTGGCCAGCCACAGATGAAGGCGGTGGTCCTGAAGACGATGATCCGCAAGCCCAAGAAACCCAACTCGGCTAACAGGAAGTGCGCTCGCGTGCGCCTGTCCAACGGCAAGGAAGCGGTAGCCTTCATTCCGGGCGAAGGCCACAACCTGCAGGAGCACAATGTGGTCCTGGTGCAGGGCGGCCGTACTCAGGACCTGCCCGGCGTCAAGCTCACCATTGTCAGGGGCAAATACGACTGCGCGCACGTCGTCAAGAAGAAACAGTGAAGGCACGCGGTTGCCGACGGTGACGACTGCGTGGGCAGCCGTTCGCCATCATTCGCTCATTCTGGCTGGGAAGGCATTTTCAGTGGGGGAACTGTGTAGCTCCACTGTGCATCCAGAAGTTGGCGCAAGGACAATTGAAGTTGACCTCTTAGGGTCATTGAGCATTTTGGGTTCATCCGGAAATGTCATCCCACACAAACTTTTTGGGAGCTTCCTAAAGAAACAACAAAAACATGAACCTCATGTACGAGCAAACCAAAAGAATGGATGCTGTCTTCTTGTACAGTACTCACAATGTTGCTCCCGTCTGTCGCCATGACATGCCAGTCACTTGATGGCACCCATTTTGGTATGGGCTAATAAAATACCACTGTTCACTTCGTGGAGTTTGTTGGAAATCATTATTCATTGCATGTATCCAGTGACAATTGACCAAAGGGCCAACTAGTCCATTGTGTGTCACTTTCCTGACATTGACTCATAACCGCTGTTATTGTTTTTCTGACATCCTGGCGAACAGTCCACTGTCCACATGTGCCTTGACATCAGATGGTGAGCAGTCCAAATGTTTGTCAATGTGGCATGACATTGGTTTGTGACCAGTCCAGGGTGTACATCTGTCACCCAAAGTCAGCTGGGATAAGATTAAGATATCCTTTATTTGTACCACACTGGGGAAATTTACAATATACAGTATAGAAAGATAATAATAATAGACAGACCCCACCTCACCCGTTACCCTCACGAGGAGAGTCTTATTTTATGTAGTTATTGATTAAAAAAAAAAAAACACTTTTTTCGCGCAGAAAATGAATGCAGTCATGAGGTTGTCAGTGTTCGTCTCGGACGTGGTTCGAAGAATGACTGAAGCACGGGTGCGTGCGCGCGCGAGCGTCCGACAACGTGCGCGGGCACGTGGGCGCTGGCAAGCTGACGACTCGATGCCAAAACAGTTCATCCAAGGACGCTGCGCTGCTACCTGAAGGTAATTAATTGATCAACCTTGAATACAATCCGGATCATGAGGTGATTGCAAAGTGTGTGTGCCCCCCGCCCCTTGCTTGACTGACAAGACGCGTCACGTCGCCGTTAGCCGAGCTAGCTAGCGTTAGCATCATCTCGACTGTGTGTTCGACGTCATCTACACGGGAAATTCATGTTTTTTTTTTAATGCACGATTGTCAGCTGCCTTCGGGTTTTAATCGCTTCATTTTTTTAAAATTCAACACCTATCAGCTCCATTTAAGTGCCACCGCTTTGGGTAGTAGCCGCCTTTAGCTGGCGTTAGCTTCCACGAGCTTTTAAAAAGCGTTTTCTCTTTTTCTCGCTAACCTCTGCCTGTGCTTGGTGGAGAAAGCTGTTGCTAACGTGGGCTGTTGCCAACAAACATTACTGTGAGGCATCAATAATGTTTGTTTTTAATTTGTTCATGTGTGGCACAGCTTTAAACATTCAGTTTTGCTTCACAAACGGCTTTTTTTCTCAGATTTATCCATGGTTTGCCCCCCAGTGCATTCGTTTGACTGTTTTCCTGTGTTCTTCTTTTTCTGTTTTTATATTTACATTACTTCATATCTGAGTAAAATGTTGATGCGCTCTCGTTTCTTTTAATTTTCAGTACAGATGCTTTAAAACTGGCCGTTTAAAGTGATAGAAAATTTGATGTTGGACAGGGAAAAAAAGTATCGCGATCATCGCCCAGCTATAATTTAGTTTAAAAACATTTGTTGTTGATGAAATATTGTGACTGCTATTCATTTGGAATTTGTCCTTTTTTTTCTTTGATTGGAGAAGATGAATGAAGTGAAAATGGAAGAGCAACCAGAAGAAGAAAAGCTTGCAAATTTGCTGGCTGAAGGTAATGACTAAGTTTTGTTGTGCTGCCGGAATGTGGAGTAGCACCCCAAAAAAATAATTAGCTCCCCAAGTACCACTGTAAGGGCCAACGGTAAAATACAGTTGCTTAGTAGACCTAAATGTTCATCAGAAACGAGACAAGTGATATTCTGAAATCTGTAATCTTACATGAATATGGATTTCCTTTTCCAAGAATGAATCCCAAATTTTATGTCAATAAAGTGCAAATGTCAAGTCTGTCCATCCATTTTCAATCCCGCATCCCATGTTCAGGGTTGTGGGGTGTTGGCGCCTATCCCAGATGACTTCGGGTGAAAGGCGGACGACACCCTGAAATGGTCGCCAGATTCTTTTGCATTCCAATAGAGGGAGCCTGTGTGTAACCAGTGCTATGAGTGTCACACTTGACCAATCACTGATTGAGGGATTGATACGAAATGACGAGCCCTCACATCGCGGCGTGGCTGCGTGTGCGTTTTCCGGCAGGCAACGTCTCGGTGCCGATGGCGGCGCCTCCCAAGCGGCGGCACCACTGCACGCTGTGCGAGCGCGACTTCTCGTGCCCGTCGCGCCTCTCCGACCACATAGCGGCGCACTTTGGCGAGAAGCCGCACGCCTGCGGCGTGTGCGGCAAGCGCTTCAGCAAGAAGATCAACGTCAAGGTTCACCAGAGGGTGCACACGGGCGAGAAGCCCTACGCCTGTCAGGACTGCGGCGCCCGCTACGCCCAACTGGGCTGCCTGCGACGCCACCGCCTGCGCCACGCCCCGCAGAAGCAGCACACGTGCGACGAGTGCGGCCGCGGCTTCCTGCAGCGACGATACCTTCTGCAGGTTTGTTCTTGTGAGCATCGCCTATCCGAAAAAGTTCCAGTCCGCCCATTAATTCCTGTCATCTTGTTTGTCTTTTTTCTTTCCCCTTTCGCAGCACCAGCGCGTGCACACGGGCGAGCGCCCGTACGCCTGCGCGCTTTGCCCCAAGCGCTTCGCCTCTACTGCAGGCCGCTCGGAGCACCAGCGCACGCACTCGGGCGACGCCTACACCTGCGCCGTGTGCCGCAAGGTCTTCACCACGCCGTCGGCCTTCCGCGACCACGCCACGCTGCACACCGGCCGCAAGCCGCACCCTTGCTCTGTGTGCAGCAAAAGCTTCAACCGGCCGGGCCTGCTTCGCAAGCATCTGCAGAAGCATCTGGAAGACGCCGTGGTGAGTCGCTACCTTGGTGGCTGCGGTGATGATGTCGTCGGGTGTCGCACACATGCCATATTGGATGTGGCAAAGTGGGTCGAGTGGATACACTGAGATGCATCAGCCTCGTTCTTTTTCCGCCATGGCCGTTGTGACGACATACAGTATATACGGACATTGTATTTGCGCTTGATATCGCACTTGTATACATTGTAGGCAGATTTGTCACATCCAAAATGGCGGGCGAGCTGATGTATCACGGTGATACTCCAACCCGCCCACTGAGGAATCGACGTGTATACGTGTGTACGCCGTCATCCGTTTAACATAACTAAAGCTGCCATCGCCGTACCGACAGGACGACGAGCAAGACGGCGAGGAAGAGGAGCACTCGCAGGATGGGTCTTCATTGCCAGGTGAGACGAATCGTCGGCTTCCCCCCAACCCACAGCACAGGTGTCAAACTCGAGCCCTTGGGGCCAAATCCGGCCCCTTTGGGTGATGGTTGGCGTGCCGCTCAAGGATCACCGCCGTAAGCCCCTTTCTCCCTTCATCTTCAGGCGCGCCGACGCGCCTGAAGAAGAAAACGAAGAAGAAGAAGGTCCACGAGTGCGAGCTGTGCGGTCGCATCTTCTCCAGGCCGTACAAGCTGAAGGAGCACCTGGAGGTCCACGCGGCCACGCGGCTGCACGGCTGCTCGGTGTGCGGCAAAAGCTTCGCCAACGCCACCAACCTGAAGGCCCACGAGAAGATCCACACGGCCGAGCGGCCGCACCGCTGCCACATTTGCACCAAATGCTTCCTCAGGCCCTACGAGCTGCGCAAGCACATCAAGACGCACGAGCGCCAGGACCTCTTGGACCTCCCTGCCATACCTGTGCCAGCACTGACGACGACGACATCGCTTCCTGCCAACAGCGCCAATATGAAAGACGGAGTCATGCTACCTCAGGTGGGACATTTGTCTTAGTGATAGCTCATCATGGCCTCAGAAGTCTGCTTGTAGACCAAACAGAAATGCCGTTACATTTGGAATCATTCACTGGCGGCCATTTTACGTTGCCACTCGATTAGCGTGCCTAACTTAAATATAGGAAATTAATTTCTCTGTGGCATTTTCACGTCGTTTTCTGTCTCTGTGGCAAAAATGACACCGTGTGTGGCGTCTGGTTGTCCCAAAAAGTCTGGGAGAAGGGCTACATGCACATTTCAGGACTAAGAATTGGGATTCTAAATGTTTTCTTCTCAGTTCGATCTCTGATTGGTATCTCTGATAGTCCACTCGTGTAGAAGTCCATGGATAAAAGCCTCTGCTGCATGGTCAGCCATCTTGATGATGATAATGATGTCATCTTTAGAAGGAGGAGGCTTTTCCCAAAGAGGAGCAGCTTCCCGGTAACCATGGCAACCAGGATGCCAGGAAGGAAGAGCAGCGGGAGGAGGAAACGGTGAACGGTCTCATCAACTCTGATGGCGAAGAAGAAGCCTGGAGCCCCGCCCTCATACGTACGCAGACCTCTCGCCACCTCCAAGATCCTGCCTTCATCTTCGTGTCTTTATTTTCTTGGCGTTTGTCCTCTCTATTAAGATGTTGATCTTTTTCCTCAATTGTCTTGACCCTGATCCTATTTGTCTTCTCCTCATTTGTCCTTTTTATGGTTTTTTTTTTTTCCCCCCTCGGCGTCTATTTTCAGAATCGGACGGCACCACAATGGCGACAACACGGACGAGAACGAGGGCGGCAGCGGCGGCGCGGTGCGACAGCGAGGACAA